TTGAAGCAGGGTTGTGAGGTGCTTGGCTAGGTAATATATTGGTGAGCCTATAGCACTAACAATGGGACGCAAGGAAATGTTGGCTTTGTGGATCTTTGGTAAGCCATAGATTCGTAGAGTTAGTGCTTCACTTCTGCACACCTTTTTCTTAATTTCATCTTTAAGGCTCGACTTTTGTACCAGTGATTTCGTTGTTCTGACAATGAGTTGGGTTGGGTCTCTGGTTAGCCGTTTGTAGGTACTCCGATCTAAGAGGTCATTGATTTTGGATGTATAATCTTCGGTGTCCATGACCACGGTGGCATTCCCTTTGTCCGCCGGCAAAACCTGAACATTCTCGTCTCTGTTCAGATCTCTTATTGCTCTTAATTCTTTCGACTTTAGGTTGCTTTTAGGTGGCTTAGCTTTCTGTAAAATTATGGCTGCTTCAGTACGGATCCATCCCCTGAGCCCGGTCTTCTGGCATCTCCGAACTGTGAACACCTTCTGAGGATGCCAACCACTCGTGTTTTTTTTTATATCGAAACAGCCGCGCAGGCAGAAGCCTAAATGCCGGAACACCGCGGCTGCTATGATGATCCCAAAGAAATTTTGTTAATACGATTTTTGAACTGCCTAAGGTTAGTAGAACTGGGAAAAGCTTCCTCTTGTAGGTTGTTCCACAATCTAGATACCCTCGGGACAAAGGAGCGATCGTATCGGCTAGTTCTGGATGTACGAAGTTTGACACGGTTAGGATGGGACGCCGAAGTCAGGCGGGTCTGTCTGGCAGGCACATCGCGCGGCGGCATCATGGAAGAGAGCTCTGAGGAGCAAAGCCTGTTGGTGTAGCGATAGAAAAGAACTATATCGCCGACGGCCCGCCGGTGCGAAAGAGTCCCGAGACTGTCTGTTAGAGAAGAGTCATCGATCAGTCGGACCGCCCTCCTCTGGACAGCATGTAGTCAAGACAAGGTAGTCAGAGCGGCAGCACCCCAAATGTGTGAGCAATACTCGAGGCTAGGCCTTATCTGGGCCTTGTATAGAGTGAGAAGGTCATGCGGAGAAAAGTACTTCTTAGCCCTAAACAAATAGCCTAGCTTTTTCCCAGCAGCTGCAGCTATTGACGAGATGTGTTCGTGCCAGATCAGGTCCTCGGTGATCTGGACTCCGACCAGCCGGATTGAATGGCTCTTTGGTAGAACTGGGCCGTCCATCGAAACCGTATGAGCGCTAGGACGCTTTTTGTTCGTCAAAGTACGGTAATGTGTTGGCGAAACGTCAAGTAAAAATATTTTACGATGGCCTAACTACCCAAAAACCGATCAAATAACATTGGATGATGGCCGCGAAAGGCTTTCTCATTTCATTCAACGCCTCTATGGGGAGGAAGTAACAGTACGATATCGACAACTACAACAACTAAGGAAAAAGAAAGCTCAACTATTGGCTTCCCTGGCATTTCTGTCCAGATGCAGGGAAGAGGATGTGATTCTGAACTTTCTGAAAACCAAACGACATAATACTTTAGCTTACTCAAAAGAATCTCATGATTGACCGTATCGAAAGCCTTGGAAAATCAAGCATGACCAACAGCGTGCCGGATTTGTCGTCAAGGTTGTCAAGTATCTCATCTGCAAGGTGTAGAGCAGGGGTGATCTAATTACCCCTAAATATCGCTTTGATCGCAAGTTTAATGTGGTATGAGTGGGACGCTGGTTTGCCGGAGTGAGTGGGCAAGTCTGTTACACGGACGGCTCGGTCACCGAAGAGGGCTCTGGCGCCGGGGTCCCTGGGCCTACAACTAGGCTATCTCTGCCTCTTGGCTTGTGTATTCCTCATTTTGGAGGGGGGTGGGCCTAGGAGAGGAATAACAATCTTCTCCGACAGCCAGGCTGCAATGAAGGTACTAAGTGCCTGTAAGATTATTTCGAGTGTTGTATTGCAATGCAGGGAGGCTCTAGATTGTCTAGTACAAGGCATCCGTTATCGTTAGTGTGGGTATCGGGACACGCTGGGCAAAAGGGGAATGAGACGGCGGACGCTCTGGCGAAGACAGGATCATCCAGCAAGCTCGTTGGTCCTGAGCCAGCCTTAGGGGTGCCCGTGCAAAGAGTTAGGAGGAAAATGGAGAAGTGGAATGCAAGACAACACGAGAACTCATTGTAGAGCCCAGCGCTAAGGATGTACGTTTCTGCTTATCTTTGGATAGAGCTAATCTAAGGTAGCTGGTTTGACTGTTGTCTGGTCATAACACATTAAGGCGCCACCTGCGCGTGATGCGGGTGGCTGAAGATCCCTTGTGTGAGTGGAAGAGACCTCGGTGCATGTTAGTGTCGCTGTGAGCTCACTACAGGCTGGTATAGTATTTTCTTTAAGACTTTCAACAAGAAACATAAGCCACTTATAGGTCTAAGATCGGCACGTTCAGATAGATTATTATTTTTGGCTAAAGGTGTGACTATTGCCTCCTTCCAGTTGGATGGAAAAACGCCCCTCTCTAAGCAGATATTAATAATATGCGTGATGTAATTTAGTATTTATCCTAGCAAGGTAGGCTCTCTTCGCCCTACGGAAGGAAGCAAGTGCGTAATTCCGCATATCTTTGTACGTAGACCAGTTTACATCAGATGGGTATGACGGAAATTCGAGAGCGCTTTGTCGCGTTTGTTAAAAATGCTTTTCAAGTTAGACGTTATCCATGGAGCAGCCGGTTTTGTTACACGAGCAGTTCGTAATGGCGCATGGATATCAATACATGTGTATTACGCAAATAGTTCAACAACTTACTTTTTCATCAGTATCCATAAAATAAAATACATTATCATGTCCAACATGAAGTAAGCCGCCCTGGAAATTAATGACATTAACATTTTTTATATCTCTAAAAGTTACTAACTTGGATTCCAATTTAGGAAACTTACACGTTCATTTATTAATTGATCAAATTTAAAATGATCGAAATAGTTGCTCAAAGGATTGTCATGATTTGAAAGGTAAATATTCATGTAACCAAGAACTATTATATTATCATATTGAGGTACGAAAAAAGAAAGCAAATCTGCGTAACTGAAATATGAGGAGGGCGATACACAATGACAATAAATAGTGTAGAGTTGCTCATCCTGAGTTTGCAGCACATCAAATCTAAGGTAGAGTCCATGGGCATCCATTGGAGGGGGGGGGGGTGCAAGGGGGGCATATGGCCCCATGGCTTCTGCTTCAAAGTGAAATATTCTTAATAAGATACCCAATCCTTGGGTAAGAAGTGGCGTGTGAGTTTTTTGCACCTCCCCTCCCCCGGTCTTCAATTGTCACCAACTGCTGGAGTTTGCTATATGGGCGCTTATGGTAGAGTCGCTTACAAAATCAAAGGTATCAATAACAGTATTGTTGAAGTTATTTATTATGTACAAGTCCACTCCCCCACCCCTACCCAAACGATTTCTACGCAAAATCTGATAGCCTAGCTAGATTCAGCTTGATTCGGAATGGTTTCATTAAGCCACGTTTCGGTAATACATATAAAATCGAATTTGTTTTGAACTAATTTACAAAAGCAGTAGTCAAGGACCGCACATTGAGATGACGAATATTTAAAACTTTGTTATTAGCCCTAGCCATAGTCAATTTTAGATTTTAATTCACCATATTCCTTTAAATAACATGGACATTGTCTGTCAGATGCAGCATGATCAACTGGATATGGCTTAAAATCTCTAGAATGACTTTTCATATAATTTTATTATATACACAGCAATTCACACATTTCTTACTAACATAGTTAAAAATATCCATCAGAATATAGGGAACACACAGACTTATTTTTGCAACCTGTTTTTCAAATGAACGAATCGAGAATAGCTAAAACATCTAATTTCCTCACATCAGGATCAACCTCTACTATATAACTCAACGCATATTTTAGCTTCAGAATAGATATCACATTTATATACATTCAACCAAGTAATCATTATTTGAAAGTGTTTTTATCATTATTAGTGATTTCTCAACATCAGCAATCAAGAGACGGGGTTTGAAGTGTTTGGGAGCTGTTAGTTTATACTTACTGCTAAACTTATTCTGAACTACGCCTTTAAGGTTTTCTGAATATTCTTCGTCAGAGCAACTAATCAACATTCCATTTTTTATAAGCTTAACACCATTAATTCCTATTTTCTCAGCAGCAGGGTTAACATTCGCTTTAACAGTATTCAAAACATCAGAGATTGATTGTTTTTGATCATTTGACGAAATAGTTAAAACAGCCTTGGTATGATTGTTTACAGTTTTTGACTATAAGGTTCGAGATTTCAGTATTCTGCTGTATTTGCGCATCGGGAGGTCTGCTGGATGTGGTTTGTTCAATTTTATCAAGCAAAATTTTGTTAGTAGATTTTAACTCATTAATAAGGTCAGTTAATAGTAGCCGAATTTTAACTTCACTTTAGCAAGCTCCATTGCCATATGATTTTTCTAATTTTATAGCTTTGGCAATCGATGAGAAGCATTTCTGATGTAGGGTAACTTCACAATTTACATTACAACATTTTACTTTGCACTGCCTTTACGGATATCCTCTTCACAATCCTCACATCGCAAATCTATGTCTGGTGGCTTATTTTTACCAGACATACTGCTACCTCAAAATTCAAGAAAATACTCACACTCTTAAGAAAGGTCATCGTTTCGAAACAAATACTTTCAATGACCTGCTAATTTTTTCATACCCTTGAAGAGTGTTCAAAGAGCCCCTTTAGGGAAATAATTAATTTGTCTAATTCTTTCATCCATCCATATATCGCCCATCAATTTTTCCATGCCATCAATAATTGGGAGAGGAATAAATGGATGAACGAGGGGTGAACAGGTTTTGATATTTCTTTTTTGTATGAAAGAGATTGCATTTAGCTATTTTACAAGAACAAACTATTTAATCGTTTGAAGTCGTTTTTATAAATGTTCCAATTTCAGATCATCCGACAATTCTGCAACGAAAGTATATTCGCCCACTATGGCGATTATCCATCCCCATGTGCCCTGAACATAGTATGGTCCACAGTGGTGTGCACGTTCATATTGGGGGCGGCCGTAGGGTCATTGGGCGGCTCTGCACTGGCCGCCCGGTTGGGCAGAAAGAGCGTCTTGGTGATATGCGCTGCCTTGGCTGCAATGGCTGCCGTAATGTTCTTCTCTTGCAAGCCTGCTGGTAGTGTTGAGATGCTTATCCTTGGAAGGTTGCTTGCCGGATTGTCAGCGGGTAGGTTCATTTTTGGATGTATGCTAATATTTAAAAAAGATCTGTTTATAATTTTTGATAGATATACGTCGCATTTTTTTAAAATCTACTAAGGGTGGATTTCACGAGGATGGTCAAATCAACAGTCCGTTATTTTCCACCTATAGGGTAACACTCCGTCAAATACAGCGAATGAGCTTCAAGTTCCAATCAACAAATTTTAGCAACCAATAGCTATGAAATGTTGAAAACAAAATGCTGTCAAAGTATGAGATGACAGCTTGTTATTGAAACATCACCAGCTTATTGACTATTAAGAAGTTACATATGGTTTAGTCAAAAATTTAAAAAAGTGTTCGATTTTTGAACAAAATTCATGTTTTTATTTAATATTGCCGATTGTTTATTCATATTTATATTATTTTATTCAATTGATATGCGATTTTACTAATTCAACATTACCTACCGTGTGTTTTTACCTATAAACCTCTTGCATACAGCCATTAAGCACCTACTTGATGACAGGCTCCACCAAAAATTTCATAGATATTGCTCGTTTCCAGACATTCATTCATTTACTTGCTGTTCATCCGTACCATTATAGCACCGTCGATTGATATTCCCACAAAACCATTCAGGGTTTTTGATATCCATACATCCATAAAGTCAAATACTTTTTGGTAGTTCAGGAACTGAACAAACATCCACACAATATTTACAGCGATTAAGAAATACTCAAATATATGTCGTAAAGCTACCGGCAAACTTGAAACCTGCAAAAAAATAGAATTTGCAATAACTCTCTTGTTTCACTGAGTACACATTCTAGGTTCTATTTATATTAGACATTATTTGAATAACAGCTGATTATTACCTGTACATTTCAAGACTCCCCAACGAGTGACACATGTGTGGGATCCGTCAACCCTTGGTCCCAGTGGGGTAACCGGTAGGCTCCGCCAACTGTTGAAATATACTCTACTATGCTTTATATGGAATTTTTCCCAAAATCGTTGCATAACACTTGAAAAAATGCAAATGAAAATTTAAAATTATTTCTATGACGCCCCAAAATAGCTCCGTCGGTACCTCGGGTTATACATCTTGACAGTAGGGATGTTCGATACGATCCTATATTTAGAAGTATCGATACTTTTGCTTCCCATACCCGAAATTTTATATCGATATTTTTATATACGACACTTGGGCGTATCGATACATTTCACGAGTATCGTCATCTTTCGATCCAGACTGTATCAGAAAGAGTGACTAATTTCAGATTACTTTCCTTCTTTGTTTCCTTCCGCTGGATATCGATAATTTCATTCCAATATTTTAGAGTATCGATACTTCCTAAAACGATAAGAATCGATACATATCGATTCTTTTGTGGATCTAAACATCAGTAATCTTAACAGATTGTCGTTCTTGTCAACTGGGCTGCAGGGTGCGGTGTTGCCTTTACAAACTTACGTTTTGCTAAAATCTTATGACAAATAAAAGCTTCAAATGAAATATTGACGGTAGATTACCGTCATTACCTCATCACCGGACAAGCAATAAAGAAACCGAAACCTCTATGTTTTCAGAATAAATATTTAATTAAAATTAGAGGTGAGTTCATCAGTTCAGGGGTAAAACAGAAAAATATTCACAATCCTATAAGCAAGAATCGAAAAAGGAGTTTCCAGAATTGTTGCAATGTACTTTGAAAGAGCGACCAGTATGCACATTGTAGAAGTTGTAATATAGAACTACGCCCTCAAAAAACATGTTGTGTGCGCGCCCAATACAATAACAGACTTTTTTCATGACTCAAAGGTCCTTGATCTATTACTGATCTTGGGACGGCATTTTCCTTATACCGAATTCAATGACACTATTTACCGATTCCGTTTTTTTGGCCGGTTCGGCAACACTGTAGATGTGCAGGTCACTTTAAAAGCAATTGATATCACAAACGTGTTATAATAATAGAAACTAGCGCAGTTGCTGGCACGCTAACGCTATGCAAAATATTGCACGTTGATGTCTTTATTAAAACGTCACGTAGCGCAGTTGCTGGTATCCTAATGCAATGCTAGCGATAACGTTATCCTATCTCTAATCATTTTTTATCCTTTGGCATCTTTGATATGGTATCTGGTATCTGGTATCAGGTATCTGGTATCTGGTATCTGGTGTTCTGGTGTCTGGTATCTGGTATCCGGTGTCTGGTATCTGGTATCTGATGTCTGGTATCTGGTATCTGGTGTCTGGTATCTGGTGTCTGGTATCTGGTATCCGGTGTCTGGTATCTGATGTCTGGTATCTGGTATCTGGTGTCTGGTATCTGGTGTCTGGTATCTGGTATCTGGTATCTGGTGTCTGGTATCTGGTATTTGGTATCTGTTATCTCTTTATCTGGTATCTGGTGTCTGGTATCTGGTGTCTGGTATCTGGTGTCTGGTGTCTGGTATCTGATGTCTGGTATCTGGTATCTGGTGTCTGGTATCTGGCTGTCTGGTATCTGGTATCTGGTGTCTGGTATCTGGTATCTGGAATCTGGTATTTGGTATCTGTTATCTCTTTATCTGGTATCTGGTGTCTGGTATCTGATATCTGGTGTCTGGTATCTGGTGTGTGGTATCTGGTATCTGGTGTCTGGGATCTGGTATCCGGTGTCTGGTATCTGGTATCTGATGTCTGGTATCTGGTATCTGGTGTCTGGTATCTGGTGTCTGTATCTGGTATCCGGTGTCTGGTATCTGATGTCTGGTATCTGGTATCTGGTGTCTGGTATCTGGTGTCTGGTATCTGGTATCTGGTATCTGGTGTCTGGTATCTGGTATTTGGTATCTGTTATCTCTTTATCTGGTATCTGGTATCTGGTGTCTGGTATCTGGTGTCTGGTATCTGGTATCCGGTGTCTGGTATCTGATGTCTGGTATCTGGTGTCTGGTATCTGGTGTCTGGTATCTGGTATCTGGTGTCTGGTATCTGGTATCTGGAATCTGGTATTTGGTATCTGTTATCTCTTTATCTGGTATCTGGTGTCTGGTATCTGATATCTGGTGTCTGGTATCTGGTGTGTGGTATCTGGTATCTGGTGTCTGGGATCTGGTGTCTGGTGTCTGTTGTCTGGTATCTGGTGTCTGATGTCTGGTGTTTGGTATCTGGTGTCTGGTATCAGGTATCTGGTAACTGGTATCTGGTATCTGGTGTCTGGTATCTGGTATCTGGTGTCTGGTGTCTGGTATCTGGTGTCTGGTATCTAGTGTCTGGTGTCTGGTATCTGGTATCAGGTATCAGGTATCTGGTATCTGGTACTTGGTATTTGGTATCTGATATCTGGTGTCTGGTATCCGGTGTCTGGTTTCTGGTATCTGGTATCTGGTGTCTGGTATCTGGTGTCTGGTATCTGGTGTCTGGTATCTGGTGTCTGGTATCTGGTATCTCGTATGTGGTGTCTGGTATCTGGTGTCTGGTGTCTGGTATCTGGTATTTGGTATTTGGTATCTGTTATCTCTTATCTGGTATCTGGTATCTCGTTTCTGGTATCTGCTATCTGGTGTCTGGTATCTGGTGCCTGGTGTCTGGTATCTGGTGTCTGGTATCTAGTATCTGGTATCTGGTGTCTGGTGTCTGGTATCTGGTATCTGGTATCTGGTATCTGGTATGTGGATCTGGTATCTGGTGTCTAGTATCTGGTATCTGGTGTCTGGTATCTGGTATCTGGTGTCTGGTATCTGGTATGGTGTCTGTATCTGTATCTGGTATCTCGTATGTGGTGTCTGGTATCTGGTGTCTGGTGTGTGGTATCTGGTATCTGGTATTTGGTATTTGGTATCTGTTATCTTTTTATCTGGTATCTGGTGTCTGGTATCTGGTATCTCGTTTCTGGTATCTGCTATCTGGTATCTGGTGTCTGGTATCTGGTATCTGGTGTCTGGTATCTGGTGTCTGGTATCTGGTGTCTGGTATCTAGTATCTGGTATCTGGTATCTGGTGTCTGGTATCTGGTATCTGGTATGTGGATCTGGTATCTGGTTTCTGGTATCTGGTATCCGGTGTCTAGTATCTGGTATGTGGATCTGGTATCTGGTTTCTGGTATCTGGTGTCTGGTATCTGGTGTCTGGTATCTCGTATCCGGTGTCTGCTGTCTGGTATCTGGTGTCTGGTATCTGGTATCTGGTTTCTGGTATCTGGTATCTGGTACCTGTCATCTTTTATAAGTTTTCATTTTTCGTTTTCCGTTTTCCGTTTTCCGTTTCCGGTTTTCCGTTTTTCGTTTTTCGTTTTTGGTTTTTCGTTTTTCATTTTTCATTTGTCGTTTTTCACTTTTCATTCTTCATATTTCATTTTTCATTTTTCATTTTGCATTTTTCATTATTCATTCATTTTTCATTTTTCAATGTCGCATGTGTCACCATTAATAGCACACAATGGCATTATAAAATCTTCGATATAGCATTAATGCCCTCTATAAAATTGTATGACAAACTCAGATTTATGTGAGGAGCCGGCAACGTCGCATGTGTCACCATAAATAACACACAATGGCATTATAAAATCTTCGATATAGCATTAATGCCCTCTATAAAATTTTATGACAAACTCAGATTTATGTGAGGAGCCGGCAACGTCGCATGTGTCACCATCAATAGCACACAATGGCCTTATAAAATCTTCGATATAGCATTAATGCCCTCTATAAAATTGTATGACAAACTCAGATTTATGTGAGGAGCCGGCAACGTCGCATGTGTCACCATAAATAACACACAATGGCATTATAAAATCTTCGATATAGCATTAATGCCCTCTATAAAATTGTATGACAAACTCCGATTTATGTGAGGATCCGGCAACGTCGCATGTCTAGCTACCGCACTTACAAAAAATGGCGCTTGACACATGTGAACCGTGTTCGCCTAAGGATAGCACGTTCTTTCTTCAGTGTAAATGTTTTATGATTTGACAGGAATGAAAATTATGTTTACCTTCTGCTGACGATTAATAAGGGTACCTCTCAAACTTCTTCAAGGATG